GCCATTTCTTTTATATATTTTTTTTGTTGTCTGACTGGGACTGAAAAAGCTGCATGAGTCTGTTATTGCATGTGTGTGAATGAATGAACAAGAGGAGAAAGTGTGATGATGAAATGATTGCGGTGCTGATGGTCACGATGAAGATGCTTCTTGAAGATGATGAAGATGCTGGTGAACGTGATGATGAGTTCACACATGGTTGTCCACTGCTGATGGGAAACTTTATTTTGTGGAGTGAACGAGACACGAAAGAGCTCAGTGTCAGATGAAGAATCCAGCAGAGGTCAGAGGTCAAATATCTTCAGACAGAAAGAACTAATAAGATCCATTAAATGTTGAGTCCATTGATGATCAGTTAATCAAAGTCTTGTCTGGAGCGTCTGATTTATGCAGATTTGCTGCTCGTCCCTGTACGTTTATTGGTTTGTTAGTGTTGTGGTCACAGAAGAAACCGTGAGAATCTCTTACGTTCCATAGAAACATCACATCCTGATCAACACCAGGACAAAATGTCTCCATCATCAGAAGAGCTTCAGATCATAATGTGTGTTTCAAGGAGACATAACGTTCGTCGTCTCACAGGAACGAAGCTCCAGAGACTAAATTAAACGATTCTTCAATAACTGCAGACGGATCTCTTAATGAAGTCTGTCTGCTCGTCTCTTATCTGGTTTCCTGGATTAAATCAGCCGCAGCCTCTAACAAGGCTCAGGCTGATTTAACCGGCTCAGTGTGTCTGTGGAGGATAATGTTAGAGTGGAAATGTTTTGATCCCGGCAGGAGGCAAACGTTCACCGTGATTTTCTCTGTAATCAGCTCCGTAAAACAGGGCCATTGACTAACAGCGTGTTTCTTTGAGAACTGATCAGTGAGACAGCAGCAGATTAACCTGATGTGACAGAACGCTCAGCTTCACTCTAATTTCCTGAAAAAGGAAACTTAAACTCAAACGGCCGAAGGAAAATAATCTTACACAGAGAAAACAATCAACGAATCCAGTTGAACATCTCTGAGGTTTATTCGACCATTTTACCAAGAAAAACCACTGAACCCATAAACTGTGACTGAAGATGGACGACGTGTCTCCACTTCCTCCGGAAATGAAGCCAAAATAGCTCAGATACGAACGCCACCATCTTGTGATGACATCACAGGGAGTCAGTCGTAATCGTGGCGTGGAGCCGCTGTACCGAAGTCCACTTAAATTGCAAAAAATTCATGCTCACCGTCTGAACGTTACGAAAAGAGAAATTTACAAAATAAAGAAAAAGAAAAAGCAAAGAGAGAAAAATAATCTCAACATTTAATCTCAGAAAAACTCCTGGGACTCGAGTTTCCTTCTCTTCTTCTTCTTCTCATGAATTAAATACGAGCTGGTTACAACACGTCTGTGTGATCGATCCCTCGTGTTGCCGAGCATCTGCTTCGCCGGAGTGTCCTTGAGCAAGACGTTAAGTCCCTGTCAGATCCAGCGGTGCAGCTGAGCTTCACTTCTCTCTCTACCTGTGGAGCCGAAGAAAACTGTGGAAATCAATACACCATCGCTGTTTCTTTATGGGAGATACGTGAGTGTGTGTGAACGAGCAGGAGTCCGAGTCAAATCTGAAAAAATCCAGATAAAAGGCCAGAGCTCACGTTTGATTTGAAAAAAGGCAATTTGTCTAAAGAGAATAATCTGTGTGGAGACAAAGCTTCAGATTAACGTCTCCGGTGTAATCCTGGCAGCAGGACGTCTGATACTCACCAAAATAAAGGAAAAGCAGTTTGGCCTCTGCAGCTTCAGCAGCAGCTTCAGCTCTGTCAGAGTTGAATCCCTCAGCGGCTGCGTCAGCCTGAAATAGACGTCACTGTACCTGCTGCTACACTAAACACAGCTACACCCGTCACTGATCACTGCCAGAAACATGTCATCACCCAGACATCTCACATTCATCCTCTGAGCTCGTTCTGCTTCAATCACAGCGTCGGTGTAGTTTCATCTGAGGAATCTAATGAGGCCATTCTGAAGGTGTGATCGTAAAAAATGACGATAAACTCTTGGTTCAGGCTCAATCGTGTGTCAGCAGAGTTCAGTGAGACATTTTTAATAAGGGAGCAAAAACTGTGTCGGCTCTAAAAGGGCTGATATGAATTTCAAAACAACCTCCACAGAGCTGTAGCCCCACGTCTCTCTGCACGTGATGTGAATAAAGAACGGGCTGATGACTGACGTGTGTCTCAGAGGGACTTCCTGGTGTCTCACGAGTGAAGAGCAAGAGCTGAGGTTTGAATCCAGCTGAGTGTCAGACCTGAACTGCCTCACATGCTCCTCACATGTTCCCGACGTGTTCCCGACGTGTTCCCGACGTGTTCTGCAGGTTCTGTTTGTGAGAACAAACGTCTGAGATAGTGTCTCTGGACATTTTCTGGATCTTCTCCTGCAGCCTCCTGGTAAAACATCTGTAAAATGTCAAAGTGAGTCCATGTGAGCGGAGTGGATGTGTTGATGAGGTTTCTAACAGAACACAAACATCTCAGGACGTAGAAGACGAAGACGCTCCAGATCTTTTGGTGATGAGGACCGACGCCGGTGTGGATGAGCTGGAACTCCAGAAAATGTCCAGACACTGTTTTTATGACACTTTCCTGCGTTTGTTTTTTAAAAGTTCTTTATATGGACACAGTGAAACATTACGTTCTCCCGTCTCTGCAGCTTCTCTCAAATCTGAGTTATTCACAGTAATAACAGCCGAGTTATCATTGTGTTGTTTTACCTCCAGAGGTTTGCAGACGCTGATTCGTATTCCTGAACATTTGTGTCTCTCACAGTCTCAGGGTCAGAGTCCCAACAGCCTGACGCTTTCAGTGTGATTCACAACGAGGATCCATTCTGCAGATGTGACAACAATGGAGTGGATTCTTGCTGCTTGCTAATTTGCTTCAGTACAGAAGAGACTGCAACAAATGAGGATCTTCATTATTCATTAGTTCAGAATAAACAGAACAGATTTCTCATCAGAGACTCACTGTCCTCAAATTAACACGACACAAAGTTCTCACCTTTAATCAGCAGAGTCTGAAACTTTGTAATGTGAAGAATTCTAGAGTTTGGTGGATCAGGAAGCAGAGGATCATGGGTAATATCCAGCGTATGAATGAGACGGCACAATCACATCTCGACACATTGATAGACTTGATCCCAGCAGAGTTAATCAACACACACGTGGCTGCAGGGGGCGCTGTTGATCAGTATATCGTGTTGCTTTATATAAAATACATTCTGTGTTTAACTTTTGCCTCTTCTCGACATGTCTGACCGTCGTCTCTGTCCGCAGGAGGAGGAGGAGCGTGGGAAGCGTCAGGTCCTGGTCCTCGGTCTGGACGGAGCAGGGAAGAGCAGCATGCTGCAGGGTTTGACCCCCGGGGAGCCGGCGGCTAAGAGAGGCCGCTGCCGGCCCACCCGCGGCTTCAACTTCATGAGCCTCAATGCCCCCGCCTGCCAGCTGGACTTTCTGGAGAGTAAGACCCCTTTTATCTCCCACAATCCAACAGTGCAGGCTCTGCGAGGAGTCGAGGGGGCCATTTATGATTTATCAGATAGAACGATATGAAGAAATGGACAGAACGCTTGCGCCTCTGTTCCTAAAATTTTATATTTAAAGATGCGTCTCCTCTTCCTCCCACTCTCTAGAAATGAAGCCAAAATATCTCAGATACAAATGCTGCCACCATGATGATGTCATTTAGAGGGTCCGCCCATGCACGTGCTCGACCAATCCTGAGTCAGTGTCAGCTGTCAATCATGACGTCACCGCCTGTCATTAAATAACTAATTAAACTAAACTGATCAGAAACTTGAACAAACATCAGTGAGATAAGAACGAGCTGAAACGACGGAAACATCTCTGACTAACTCTTATGATGTTTACTGCAGTCAGCCACCAGGGGGCGATCCAGATGTTTTGGCTTCATCTTGGTGAACTGTCACGTCGTCCATCTTTATTTACGATCCATGGCACAGTTGGGCGTTTGCTGAATTAAACACTGATGCTAACGCCACATAAATGAAACGTTTGAAGATCTCTGTCAGAAGAAGTTTGAAAGTGCAGATTGTTGGAAAATCCCTGAAAATGGCTCCAGACTGTATTTTGTGGTTCTGAGTGTGATGTGAAAACACTTGTGACGAAACGTACGCTGCAGTTTGAGAATGTGGTCGACAAAGGCGCCGCTCCTTTCGTTGACCCGGAACCGAAATGAATCAGTCTCGTCTGCTGATGTTTTCCAATAAAATAAACCTACTATGCTGACTACAGACCAAAGACTAGCTACAGATACACATTAGTGCACGTACAGTGTGTACAGTAAGTACAGTGTGTACAGTGTGTTCAGTGTGTTCAGTGTGAACAGCAGACGTTTGTTCCTGGTGTTTCTCAGCCAAATTAAAAATGTTTGGCGTAACGGTTCAGAAACAATCACCGTTCAGATCGTACTTGGGTTTTAGAGGTACAGTGTATTTTGTCTGCCACAGGACGCTGGACTTGAGTTTCAAATTGAGTTCTGCAGACAAAACAAGTTGCAGAACCGAAATGCCCTCACTGAAGATTTCCAGTACAAATTCGTGCACTGTTACGCCCCCTATATATTCACTTTGAAATTGCAGGGACAATGCTCATTTTGAACTGTAGCTTATTTTACTCAAATCTGCCGTTTTATTTTTAACCAATAAACTATAAATCCTCCAAATGAGCTTCCTCTGAAAACTGCAGCTAAAAATAACACGGATGACTTTGTTTTTCATTCCGAGGCGTTAAACTGCAGTCGGCCTCAGGATGAGTCTCTGTGGATGAATCTGCAGCAGCAGTGTCACGATCTGCTTCTGATTTATTCATGATCTGAAAACAGAAATCTGAGGATGCCGAGATTCTGTTTCTCCTCATGTGAGAAAGTGGGAGGAACAAACACCCTCTCGATCAGAAGACTTCAGAGACGTTTGAGTCTTTGTCTTTGTCTCGGTGACATTGATGCCCAGAGTCCGACGGGGACGGAGGAGAAATCCAGTTTTTAAACTGCACATGAGAAGATGCAGATTAGATCAGAGAGGATCATCAGATCACATGATCAACACATGAAAGATCTACAGATGGGTTTGAATCCTCACAGACACACTGAGCAGTTTGAACACATGTAAAACACACACGACCAGAACCTGGAGACATGTTCAAATGCTGCATTTAAGTGCTGCTGGAAAACTGGGACATCTGGGCCTCAAGTTTAACTTCAGAGTGAGGAAGACGTTTTGTAAAAAAAGAGGTTATGTTTTCACCCCTGTTCGTTTATTTGCTTGAACTTGTTGAACTAATGGGTCAGGAAAGAAAAGTACAGACATTTTTTGAAGAGATTCATTCATGGACATATTCAGAGGACTGATATTTATGAGTGGGTGTAATTTGGTGCAGCTTGAATTTAAGGAACTGAACTCTACTGAGTGTCATTCCGGTTCAGGTTTTGAATCGTAAAATTGTTTTACATGTGAACCTGCTTGCTCCACCTCGGTTTAAAGACTCGTGAACAGGGACGTCACTCACCCTGTCAACGGAAACGTTTAAGGCTGCAGCCTCACGCTCAGAAAACACAAACCAGTGAAGCTTTAACTCGACATCTCTCGATTCAGAAGATATTTTGGATCCAAACCCAAATTAAACAAGTTCTTACTTGACTCATGTCTCATTCCTCCAAAGTTTCTACTGACAAACACTGAAAATACATCTCCTTCACTCTTGAGGGGATTTTCAAACCAACTAACTCAGTGTGGTCCAGTAAAAACACACTCAGCGTCTGTTGTGTGTGTGTTGTGTGTTTAATAAGTCGTCCTGTAGAGCAGCAGGACGAGCGTCCCGCTGAGATCACTGACTGCTCGTACCGCTCAGCATCAGGCCTCAGTACCACATCACGTTAACAGCTATTTGCTGCTGCCACATCTCATCAGCCGCAGGTTCATCACCGCCCAGTTACCTAGCAACATTCTCCATTAAGTGAGAGCTGAAGTCAGAGCCGCTCCTCGTGTGGCCGCCGGTCGTCTCTGCTGAAGGTCAGTTCTTCGCACAGCGGGATTGTGGGATGTTAAAGTTCTGAAAGTCTCCCCCCACTGCAGCTGTTTAACAAATCTTCGTTGTGGATGTGACAGTTTTTTGAGACTGAAAAACTCTGATCATTTCCTGTCAGAGTCCATCAGTGAAGTGACTCAGCCGACCGTCCACAGATCAGTAGAGAAAAGGATCTGAGCTGAACGTCCGCCCGCAGCCAGCACCTCTCACATCTGAAGAGCTGAACATTTAAGACCGAACAAATCCAACAACTGGGAGCACAGAGAGTCAAATGAAAAATGTCCTCGGCTCAGAGGAAACAAACCATCGATTCTAAAGCACTTCTGACAACAGGAAGAAGAACGACTGAGAAAGAAGAAAAGAAAAATGTTTGAAGAAGGCAGAAAAAGCAAAGTAAAGAAAAAACACTAAAGCGATTCATCCACAAGTAAAGAACAATATGAGCCTCTGAAAGAAACAACCAAGAAACATTTAGAGAATGTGGAGAAAAACAGATTGTGTAAAAATAAAAGCTCAGACTAGTGAAAAGAGTAAAGACAGAAGCTTCACAGTTTTATTTTGCTCTGAGCTTCACTGACACTTCATGTCTGGAGGCAACAAGACGGAAAAAATGAATTAGACCAATTTCCTCCAGCGGAGAAACGTGGTTATAAATAATGGCTAAATAGGCTTCACCTATTTCATCCCTCAGTGGGAAGTAGATTAGTGATTTAATTCAGTCTGCTGCACATCTCAAATTAATCTGTGGCCAATTAGTTTAAAGCAGGAACACCAGCAGGTCATTTATTCATCTTCTCTTCCTTGAACACAAAGGACACAAAGAAAAAGTCTGAAATGTCCTCGAGAGACTGGATCAGTCGAGGCCACGTCTGTTTGTTTGTCTTCGGTCGACCTCCGAGCAACACTTTGTTTGTGTCGATCGATAAAAGAACATCCTGTTTATCCTTGAATCCACTCGCTGCTTGTCAATACATGTCATTATGGAGATGCCCAGTTACAACCAGTGCAGCGTCGTAACACTTTGATAAAGAAATTGTCTTCAAACTTTATGATCAGACCATTTGGATTAAAAGAGATTTAACACATTTCTGCGTTTGATACAAAAGTAAAAGGCAGAACGACAAGAAGAGATGTTGAGATATTCACTGACTTCTCTACTCGACTTTACCAAGTGTCACAACCGGCTCAGACGAGTGTGTCGAGGAGGGAGATGACAAATGTTGACGGTTATATTTTAAGACGTTTATTTAAACAGAACAAGACACAACGTGTGTCCACAAACAAAGGGAGGCTGCCGTCGGGAGTCAGAGAGAGACAACCTCGTCCCTCAGAGAGCGCAAGAGAGAGAGAGACGCGAATGAGGCGAGGCCTTCTAAAGGGCAGAGCACACAGGGACACCTAGTGTCCAGATGAGGGTGGAGGGGGGTCGTCACAGAGGTCACAGTGAACCTTTGACCTTTAACCTCCAAATTCAATCAGTTCATCCTTGAGTCCAAGTCAATCTCCGTCCCAAATTTGCAGATGTTTCCTCGTTACGTTCCTGAAATCTCGCGTTCACAAGTGAAGGACGTACGAAGCTGTAAAACATTCAGAGAAAGACCGTGAAAGACCGACGGAGACTCACAGAGATTAAGTGTTTACGAATGTTTCTCTGCTGCAGTTGGGGGAGGGGAGGACCTGCGGCGGTACTGGTCCGAATACCTGAGGAGGACTCACGTTCTGGTGTATGTGGTCGACTCGTCCGACAGGAAACGCCTCCCGCTGGCGAAGGCTGAACTGCACCGCCTCCTGAGGGTGGAGCCTCAGCTGCCTGTGGTCATCCTGGGAAACAAACAGGTAAATGACTAAATGTTCAGTGTTTCTGAAACAAATACATCTGTTTCATTGTTAGAGCAAAGAAATGCAGTTTTAATAAGCTACACAGAAATGAATGGAAACCTGAAAAGCTGAACAATATAAAAAAACGTCCAAAATCTAAAACCCTGAAGTGCATTAAAAAAAAATACATTTATTATTATAAACTTAACGTACGAGTTTAAAGTGGTGAAAATAGAAAAAGTCACATTTCTCTCTCATTACTTATAACGGCTCTGAAAATAATGTTAACAAAACTGAAGTTACTTCAAGAGACGATGCGTTGGTGACAGCAGGAACGAGTCGCTCCCTCTTTATTTATTCAGCAGAGATGATCCATCGTTCCCTCAGAATAAAACATGAACCTACGAGGGAAGCAGCTTTGATCCGCTCAGACCTGAGGGTCACTTTAAGAAATGATTGATGAGGTCGTCTCAGCTCGAGCTGAACAAGAGGTTCTGTTCACAGAAGCTGCACAAACAGGTGCATCACATTCTATCCGGTGGTTAAACCATCCAAATACCTTCACAGGTACCAAGTGAACGCTCTTCTCCTCTTTCATCTCCAGAAATAATGAGGACACTTCAAACAGGACGACTCCTGCAGAGATGAAAGAGCCGAGTGCTTTTAAAAACCTTGGTTATTTTTCAGGTTACGCTGCCGAGCTCTGAAACCATAAAGTCAAAATGAAATATTTGACTGGGAGCACGCTCTGTGAGTTACAGGCACCCAGGTCAACGTCTCTTTGCACAATGAATACTTGTCAGACCATGTTTTAGCGTCATGTAGCTCCACAGTCATTAAGAGGATAAATATCTACTTTTAAACTTTTCTTCACATGAAAATAACTACATTTGTTCAGTTTGACCAGACTCTGTTTGTTCAGTGGGTTGTGTTGAGGCTCCTGTGCATTTTTCTGCTTGAGTGGTTTAAGTATAAAATAATAAATCAATGCTATCGAGTCTCGGTTGCTGCCATGAGCAGAATAAAAAACAAAACACAATGAAGGACAGAACTTCAAACTGGATTAGGACGTGAAATAAATCCATTATTTTGTTTGGTGTGACGTCCTTCCCATGATTCATGTCTCTCTGAGTAAACAAATTTAAAAAACGAGGTTTTTTTAAACCACTTTGTTCTCAGCCTCGACTCCGGCTGCGTTCAAACAGCACAGAGGATGTTTCCAGCAGAAGCTGCTGGAGACGACGTGGTGCGAGGAAACGTGTGCAGGCTGGATCTGACGCCGCCCTCCCACACGTCTCCACATATGATCCAGCGTGTGAAAACATCACGTGTGGTTATTGGCACTCAAACATTGTGAATTATACTTTAATGGTGATTTCAGTCAAGTCAGTGTCATCAGATAAATTATGTTCACTGGTCAGTTTGTCGACAACATCTTTACTTCATGGTCAAAACAGAATTTGAAATTTCACGGTGAATAAATATCTTTTCTGTTCACATGGTTCAGACCGTGGACGTTTTTAGTTCTTTAATTTTAGTCGTCTTCAGTTTTTCAGTTTTTCTTCACATCTGAAGGAAAATGTTTACGTCCACGACAGTGACGTTATTAGAGACCATTTTGCCGTTGCTAAGCAACGATGTTCTAACGACTCAACAACTTGAACGTTAAGTATGAACCCGACTTCCCTCACGAGCTCCGTCAGAGGCAGCATGACCAGCAACCATGACCAACATTTCCAAACATTTAAACACAAAACAGAAGTTAAGGTAGAAACGTTCTTGATAAAATTTAATATTGAAAAAAATGTTTCTTGTCAAACTGGTTGTAACTGGTTTCATGCTCCTCGCAGGATAAGCCCAATGCCATCGGTGTGTCGGAGCTACATGAGGCCTTGTCTCTCGGCTCCTTGACCGAGGACAGGAAGCTGTTCCTCTTGGCCGCTCAGCTGGATTCAGACAAAGCCCTGAGGAACTCCTGCTGGGGCCTGGACACCTTCCAGGACCTCCTGCTACAGCTCGTCTAACCCCCCCCCCCCCCCCCCCCCCCCCCCCCCCCGCAGAAGACGAGGAGATGGAGGGATGGAAGCAAAGGGATGGTTTCAGGACGTCCTCCTCCTCCTCATATAAGCTCGATTTTTTGAGGCAAAGGAGGAGGAAATAGTGAAGGTTTCTGAAGCAGAGGAGTTGAAGATGAAACTCGGAGTCTTCTCCTCCTTTTCCTCAAACTACGTCAGCTCGTTATTTTCAAAGTCACCTCCTCCTCCACCAGCAGCTCGATTTCTCCCGACTCATCATCCTCTCCGGAGGAGAGGAGGACGAGGGTTTATTCTCAGATCTGTGACTCAGAACCACACATTTCACCTCCTGCCAATGACTCCGATGTTCCATTTATCTAAATGTCACCAGGTTGATTTCAGCCTTCAGATTCAACTCCATCAAAAAGATCGTAGATGCAGAAAATACTGATTTCTCTTGGTTTGCCTTTTTTTCTGAAAGCTGTGCGGCAGAGCAGAACAGGCAACACCTCGGGTTGCCAGGTTGGAGTTGCCGAAGCTGCACCAGCTCGGTGAAGCAACTGATTTAATAGCGGCTTCTGAGATTTGTGGATTCTGTGAGGGAATTTAACTCCCTGATATTTTTCTTGCTTGTCAGGTTTCAACACTTCCATGTAACATCTCCTCACAGCACCATGTGGATTTTTAAATGTCTCCCTCGTGTCACAGAGCAGAATGTAGAATCCAGTAAAACCACACGTCTTTGAATGTATCAGTGATTTTTAAATGGTCTTGTACAGAGAAACTGGACTCAGCTTAGTTCAGATGTTTGTGATGAACGTGAACATTTATTCCTTTTGATGTCGTGTTGCTCTGCAGAAATGTTCTCATCACACGAAGCTGGATTTTCAGTGGAGCGACTGCTTTCCTGTTTTCCTGTGCTGCATATGAATTCATGCATGTGGTCTTGTGTTCTCTTTTAAAACTGAAGCTGCAGTTTCCATTAAATTAAGTCTCAATGTCTTTTCTGCAACTTCACAATCTCACTGACCAGAGGACAGTTGATCTGCTCTGAAAACAACACGGCTGGATCTATAACATGTGGGCTGACACAGCACGTCAATGCAGACATAAAGATAAAACTGTGTGTGTGTGTGTGTGTGTAGGTGGCTGACCTCGTGTTGTCGAGCAAAGTTCAACACTTTACACAACAGGAAGTTCTCGTTCAGCTGAGTCGTGTTCCTGAGAGCAAGAAAACTCTGTTTGTAGATAAATGTCGTCTTCCACTGAAGCTGGGGATCGTCCAGATTAAAGATGAATAACGTTCTTAAAGGAATGGAACTCATTTAATGATTCTGTACTCTACATTGAAAGGTGGGAGATGGACCAAACTAAGATAGACGTTACATAAATGTTTCTCAAAAATAGTTTCAGTGATCGTCGGTAGTTTTAATCACACCGATATGAAAACACCACGCACTTCAAGATGGTGGCGCCCGAATCCTGGGAGGTATTTTGGCTTTTTTTGATTTTTTAAAGAGAGAGGAAGTGGATAAACATCCTCCATCTTTATTTCGTCACTAATTTAGTACAGTCGTTGGAGATGTAAATAAAGTTTGGGCCCTCAACTTATTTATAGTCTCCAGTTATAAATCTGAGAGGTGGAAAGATGATTAAGTAAGAACGTCCAAAACGTCAAGAATCGATTTGATGGTTTTCACCAAATTGTATTTTCACATTTTAAAACATTTTCAGTTAATGTTTCCTGGCAGAGTCTGAACCGCACAGAGGCTCATACGCTCATAAGCTGAACCTTCAGTCGTCTTAGTGTTTAACTTCTTCACTGATAAAGTTTCCAGGTCAAACGAGTGACTGAGCAGGAACTCTCTGTTCAGTGGAACGAGGCTGTAGATGATTAACGACAAACCACAGGGTCACTGCGGCTGATGTAGGTCAAACTATGGAACAGTAAAGATAAAGTTCTGTAGTTAACAGATTATCACCATATCTGCTTGGGTGTGTTTGTGTTTTTTTACACAGCGAGATAAATACTTGTATGCAGACTCCATCCACATCTTGAAGTTCTATTTCTTATTTAGTTCACACAGCGATGTGGCGACGACTCGTTTCTAAAACTCTGGAATCCTCTCGATTTGAGGATCCTTCCGACCTCTTCACGTTGGTTTTTTCCACAATCTGTCCAGTGTCACTGTTCGTTCTGTGCTTCCGTCTCCACCACTGATTAAATCGACCTTCGTGACTCTCACAGATGCTGAAGCTTCAAAGAACATTTTCACCAAACTGTTTCCTCCATTTTCAACCTTCTGTGGATTTCTCCTCTTGGTTCAACAGAGATATTTGAATTAATTGCATCAGAGTGAAGCGTTTGAACAAATGACCTAAAAATGGAAACTGCAATGTTTTCATTTTGTAAAAATATTGTTTAATATTAGGGTCGAGTCAGTTTTCTGACACACAATCTTTTAACAGCGATGTTTTCAGAATTCATTCACACAAACCTGGTTCAACTGTTAGAAATGATATTTTCTGTTTTATCTGGAGAAGTTTTCATCACAGAAATGTTCACATCTCATCCTGTGCTGTACGAACTGTCCTGTAACTATTTGATAAAAAGAACAAGGAGAGCAGGAGGAATCAGCTGATGACACGTTAAACATAGTTGAACATTCAGATCACGGAGTTGAGAGAATGTTTCTGAAAAGAGGAAGAAAAACTAAAAACACAGGAAGCAACAGAACGACAGAGAAACGTCTTTTTCTCCACCGTCCCCGTCTGTGAATTCTGCCTCAGTCTGAATGTTCAGTCTGCGCTCGGACACGGTTTGATTTCCGTCTCGTCCTCATGCAGAGAAAGATTTCAAGTCCAGAACAGGGTGGACACGCCCCCTACTGGGCCATCGGCTGTGGAGCAGCTATCGAGGCGATGAAGGCGTCGTAGTGCTGCGAGTGGCAGCGCTTGTACTCGTTGATTTTCCTCTTGATCTGTTTGGGCGTGTCCTGGTAGTAGTTCTTCTCGTCTCTGGCCATCGCCTGCAGGGACGGACAAACAACAGACGGTATGAACCTGACAAACGTGACGTTCACTGAAAACTGGGATTCCAAATTTAGGGAAGAAAAAACTTTACAGAAATATTCGCTCCCCCTTGAGGTCGCAGGTCTCAATAACTACCAGACATAACGGATCTGTTCTTGTCTCTTGAAGTTTCATTTCTTAAAAGTCTCATTAACTCAGAGAGAGAAACGAGGACACACTGTGTGCTCTCACCTTGTAGTCGTCCTTGTGTTCTCGGATCATGTACTGAACGTACTCAACCAGGTCGGACGATAACGTCTTCACATTTTTCTCTGGACGATTCGCTTCCTCCTCCAGTTCTGTTCAAAACAAAAAACAAGGGATCAGGACTTCATGAATCTGGGCTAAACAAAAACAAATTGACTGATTGAAAGCAAATCTTCACAGAGACAAAAGGTTTCTTTATATTTTCCCTGTTGTTTCTGAAGCGACGCTACGTAACTTCTGCTGAGCAACAGCGCCCCCTCCAGCCACACTTATTAATGAATAATGTTAAAAAACAAAAGACAGATGGTGGATCAAACTGATCACCTGTTACATTTGTTTGCACTTGACTAATCGCTCTTTATCCCAAAATAATCCTCACATCTTCTTCACTTCACTTCAGAAATAAAGTTTTTACAGGACTTACGGTTGAGGACGTAGGGTTTGGTGACGATGTTGCTGGGAGCTTTGGTCTCTCTGTCTTCACCGAGGAGCTGCACGTGTGAACAGAAACACATCATGAAGATCAGTGGAAGTCCTCAGCGGGTTTGGATTCATGTGAAATGACAGGTATGAAATGTGGTTGTTGTTTCCGGCTCTGACGCTCGTTGACGAGTCGACAGAGTTGAACTGTCCTCGCTCCGGAGCCCAGCAGGCGCAGAGAGGAATCGTTTACGTGTCGGCAGGAAATAGATTCATTTAAATGAACCAGTGACAGAAACAATGACTGAACGACAACATGAGATTAGTTCAAATGAGGAACAATAGATCACTTGTTGATCGTCTGTGAGAATATTAAATAATCAAGAATCAGGATTCTTCATGTCTTTAGTTCTGGACATAAGTTGTATTCCCTTCCATGAGCACCAGTGGTTTGAGGGACACCAGAGGCCACCTGCCTCGTCTTTCTCTCACAAGTTCATTTTGCTTCTTTGTGGAAAAAGGAGTTTTGATCAAAAAAGGGAATAAAAGTCAGCGTTTGCCACAGAATTAGTTAAATCTACGGGAATAACGAGGAGCACATGCAGAGCAAAGACAAGTTTCATGTGAGAGAAAGAACTGAAACTATGAGGTCTGACTGTCTGCGTGGACAATAAACACTTTATAGACCACTATCTTTACAGGTTGTGGGTTTGAAGTACAATTACAACCGATGTCACGATGCTAATGTGCCACACACTTTATCAGCTACTCTCCAAAATACTCATTTCCCATTGACCGCTGGTTTAAAACGATGGGGGAGTTTAGCTTTAGGGTCTGAACACATGAACGTGTTTCAATGACTTTAAACTTCACCTCCGAAACTTTTCAGAGTACAGGCTTCTGTAAAGTGTTGACCAATGTTTCCTCATGAGCTCAGAGGTTTCACATCCAAACATCGAGAGTTTGTGTGTGTGTGTGTGTGTTTGTGTGTTTTTAAGATTTCTTCTGGTTTCACACGTTTGATCGTTGACACTCTGCTGCCCCCTACAGGTACAAACAAAAACTACAGCATATGAACATATGTTTTGCTGCAAAAACCTGAATTAAACTTAAATATAATCGAACTGCAAAGTCCCAGTTTGATCCCACATGAAGACATCAGCTGAATATCATTCACTCCCAAAGGTCCCATGTGCACTTTATCTGAACCTTCAATGAAATCAAACAGAAACTTTTCTTTAAGAAACTAATAATAAAACATAAAATGAAGGAGTGTGACTGCACAGAGCTAAAGTTAGAAGAAATCAAGTAAACCCAGAACAGAACAAACAGCAGCTTGAATGAATGAGTGTTGATAAGTTCCAGGAACTTTTGATGAACCGTGATTTAAACTCAAACTGAACCATCACAGAATCTGAACATTAGTTAACGTTCTCAACAAGTTCAGATGAGCTGATCTCTGGTTTGATAAATCTCCTGTTACCCAGCGTGTCACTTACGCTCGGCTTCTGTATGGGCAGCGTGCGGTTTGGATCGAAGGCCAGACCCATGTCCTGCAGGTTCCTGGACACAGACTTCTTATCGTCCCACGCATTTCGAATCTGTCGACTGAGAGAGGATCAGCGTTAGAAATAAAATATGACACTGAGGAAAGAGGAGGAAGAAGAAGATCTAATAAAAATGTTTAGAATATTAGAATATTATCTATCCAATGAGAGAAGTGAGTCACAAATTGCTGAAACTGGTTTCAATAACCAGGGTCTGAGACTAGTTTCAGTTAACCAGGGTCAGTAGCGGGGTTAACTTAACCCAGGTCTGAGTTAACCCAGGTTAGTGACAGTTCGCAGGTCTGCATTAAACCAGGTCTAAGTTAACCCGGGTCAGTAGCAGGTTTAACTTAAGCCAGGTATGTGACATGTTAACTCTGGTTTAAACCTGAGGTAACCCACGTCAACTTCATGTTCCAGATAAACCAGGTATGTGATATGTTTAAGTTACGCCGGCACTGAGACAAGACCAAGTTAAACTTTGGTTAAAGCAGGTCAGTAGCAGGTTAAAGTTAACCCAGGTTAGTGACAGTTTCAGGTTTAAGTTAAACCTGAGTTACACTTCAGTTAACCCAGGTCTGAGTTAACCCTGGTTAGTGACAGTCCCCAGGTCTGAGTTAAGTTAACCCGGGTCTAAGTTAACCCAGGCTGGTCTGAGTTAACCCGGGTCAGTAGCAGGGTTCAGTCCAGTGGTTCACTGGTTGAATCGATCACTTGAGTTTAATGAACAATGTTTAAAAACAGAACCTGACCCCCCCCCCCCCAGTGTTTGTCAATCTCCCAGCATGCCCAGCGTTAGCCGCCAGTAGCTAACATGCTAACTCACTCGTCTATGGTCGGGTTGTATTTCTTGATGAACTTCTTCTTCATCTTCTTCCGGTTTGCATTGTAGTCAAACTTCTTCCTCTTGCTCGACTGCTTCGCTTTCGGCATCTTTGCGTCTCGGTGATTTTCTCGCTTTTCCTCGGTTTGATTTTCTGACGCTGAAGAAACAACGTGAAGCTGCAGCAGGAAACACGTGGTTTACTTCCGGTCACGCGACCTCAGACTTTTCCGCTTTCCCCTTATTTTTTTTTTTTTTTTTTAACATTTTTTATTTTACATTTTAATTCTGTCAGTGACTCAATTTAAAGAATAAAACTAAATAAAATGTTCATTCAGTTTTTCCCTTTGTATTTTTTACACAAACGTGTTGTTGAATTATTCACTTAAACAGTGAAACAGCTGCACTTGCTGCTTCTGTCCTCCAGGGGTCAGACTGACAATAACAATAAAACATCACAGGATTCACAAGTGAAATATAAAATACTAACTCTGAAACCTCATCAGATTTTCTTCAGAATCCACACACACGAATCAAGACATAGATTCTAATCTGTGTTTTTAGTTTTCAATGGATATAAAGAATTTATCCAAGTGCAGAAGCTGATCAGCCAATGACTAAGTTATAAGTTCTGGTTTTCACAGTAACAAACATCTGTTCAGCAGCAGACAGATGTTTTCAGGGTGAACATCTGTGTGAAGGAAGGATGTGGGAGAAAAGGTCACAGGCTCATTTGAAGAACCAGTATAAAATAGTTAAATCCAGCAGTCTGCAGTATAGTTGACAAAGAAAACCCCAAAACATTGAAGCATAACAAAGACATAAATATTACATAAACCAATCCTTTTAGCCCATTATTAAAATTTCAGTCAATTTAAATAAAAGCGAACTATTCCTCTATATCATCAAATCAGTAATGATTGGATGACTAATGTGCATAACAAAGACATAAATACAAATATAAAACTGTAGTGACTGATTTGTCAGCATTTGTGTTAACTATCACCACTTCCCTCCATTTCAGGGCCATTGACTTTGTATAAAAAGGTCAGGACGTCGCTTCTGATTAGATCCGAGCTCCTCATCCAGGGAAGTTTGTTGAGTTTTAAAAACCTGAACCAGGCAGTGAAACAACACTGATCGATATCTGCATCAGGCCTCTGAGCTGCTGTCGTCAGTGATGATGACAGAACAGAGAAAATCCTTCTTAATGTACCTTTAATGCACCGTGGTGGAGTTTTCATCGATCTGAGAACACGAGCAGCAGCAGCTCTGGAGTCTCTCATCCATCGATGTCCTGTTTCTAACAGTGCATCTGACTGAAATGAACCTGAACACATCAGAGGAATCAGATTCACAACATATCGATCCAAATATTCTGAACCTGCGTCATCGTCGAACTCAGAGGAAGCAGACGGGAACATGTTTATCAGAGAGATAATTAGCACTTGATCAATCAATATTAAAGTCACAGTACATGGAGTAAACTCTGCTGCAGCTTCCACTTGACACAATCATTATTATTTCATATCATTGATAAGATACCTATCTAAACTTTAAAATTATGTGAAATATCTTGACTGATAAAATATACAAATGTTACTGTGCATCACTGCACTAAAATGTAAAATATCTAATCATCAAGATATCATAGTTGAAGGGTCTAAAAAATACTTGTAGACTGTTATATACACACAAATACAGCAGAAAATATCAGAAATGAAAACATCAAACTTTGTTTTTTACTTCCTGAAGAATAAAATGTAGTAAAATAAAATATTTATGAAATATTGTAGAGAAAGTCCATGGCAACAAGTTTTCTATAAGATGTTAAAATAAATTTTATAATAGTAGAAGTCAGGGGAGAGGAGGAGGATGAAGAGGAGATAGAGGAGGAGGAGAGAGAGGAGGAAGATGAAGAGGAGATAGAGGAGGAGAGAGAGAGGAGGAAGATGAAGAG